CCACCTAGCTATATTGTTTGCATTTTGTATATATCCTGATGAATCAGTGAGTTTTGTGCTCAACAATTGTGTTATTTTAACTAATAAAAAAATTATTGTAGTCAAGTACATGAGGAATGTGTTCCAGTTTGTTGTACTGTATTGATGTTATAGTTTGTATTGTATGTTGAAATAGTGGAGGCTTTGATTTGGTTTCGATTAATGTAAATTTAATTGTAATATTTTTTGTACTATGATAGTATATATAAGTTGCTTAAGCGACCAGAAGTTTTGTTTTTGTAAACTAAGATTGTGGTTAGGTGCTATTTGCAGAATCAGATTGATTATTTTAATAGTTGTAGAGTGCGATGTTAAAATTGTAATCTAACAGTTAAATAGTACTATAGATAGTATTGAAATTATTCCAACTAGATATGCTCTAGTTACCAAGAGCCAATAGGTAATATAGACTGTAAATAATATATTTGTTGGGTAAGGATCCAAGCAAATGATGCAGCTGATCCTGGTGTATTTATATTGTTGTATATAGCATATATATAATTGCAGTTTTATCATTAGATTTAGCTATCTGCTTAATCTATTTACTAAACAATTTTGAGGCAGATGTAGTATCCAAGTCATGTTAACTTTGATATGAGACTAGCTGAAACCAAAAATTATCACAAATGATTTAGTTAACAATCCACTATGTTGAATAAAAGCTAGACAATTAAACAATCCACAATATAGAACTTGAAGTGTTTATTCATATATTTTCCAAGTATGATCAGAGTATATTTTTCTTCTTGTAACAAAGTATTTGATTTTGTGACAAAATAAACAGCAATGTGATCTAATAATACATTTTTTTTATTGTTTGTACAGCCTTTATATGCAATCTTTCCCAAAGTATATGTAAGATATTTTGATTGTAAATAAGATAGTGCAAACAAATATCTAACTTTGGGTCTCTATTTTAGCATCTTTTACAGTCTGAGAATTAATCTCCCATGTACTGCATAGTTGCTCTACACAGCGAACTCCTTCTCTGTTATATCATTTAATTGTATTTTGCTTATTATCATTATCAATACTAACACAGTTTGTATATTTAGTATTTTTACTAGCGGCAAGTACTGGTATTTCAATTTTCTCTTCAAATATTTCTTGTGTTTCCAACTCATCATTACTTTTAAGAGATTTATAGTTTTTATAGTCAACTTCAATTGATGTATTTACTTTGGATATTCTATAGAATAGACAACTTTGCTATTAAAAAATTAATAATTACCTATCATTAGTGATGCTTATTTCTTATATTGCCTACCTATTCTATAAAACATTCTACTATTTTCTGCATTTTTTTTAAATAATTGATAGTTAAATTTGAGAATATCTTCATGTAGTTCTTCTTGTTTATTAGCAAAATTTAATTCTTCATTCAAGTCATCATAAATCTTTTCAAGATCAAAGTGAGTTTCATGTAAAACTTCTTCTATTATTTTAGCTTTTACAAATAATTTAAAATCAAGTATATTATACTAATAACTTGGTGTGTGGATAAATAATTAGCAAAATTGAATAGGCTAGGTAGAAATTCAAGTGATATTTATAGAGAATATTTATTGCCACACCTTATTTTTGTTAATGCCACCTCTATCCGATCTCCAACTCTTCCGACTCTAGTCATGTGATTGCATGATATAAGCAAAAACCAATCAGTATATAATTCATGGAGATATGCAATTTTTCTGCAAATCATGTGACCTATACTTCGATCTTAACCAATAAAATTGCAAGAAATTATTTAAATAAATACTATATAAAAAAACAAATATAAAACTTACTTTTGGCCTCTAATTAAAGTTGTAGAGACAATCAAAATGATTTTAACGACTATTAAAACATTAAAATCAGCCTGGTAGATCATGAGATATGATCAAAAATTTTCTCCACAATATTATAAAATTTTTTTGTAAATTTAAAGAAATTTTATAAGATCGTAAAGATATTTTTTGATCATATTTCATGATCTACAAGGCTGATTTTAAAGTTTTAATAATTGTTAGAATCATCTTGATTGTCTCTACAACTTTAATTAGAGACAAAAATATAATTTACTTATTAAAAAAAATAATTTTTTATAATAATAATTCAATATTTAATTTTAATATACAGTCAAACCTCTCTATAGTCACACCTTCAGAATACAAAAAACTGTGATTGTAAAGAGGTGTGACTAATATAGAGGTATTTTCTATATAGTTATAAATAA